TGGCAGCAAATAGCTCCTTGAGCTTCAGGGATTGGAGTTCTATTTTTGAATTCTTGACATTTACCTTTGTCAGAATATCATAGTTATGGCTAATTTGGAGTCTCTACCCAAGTCATTCTCACATGTATTGAGCACCTACATAGCAGCCATTGCTCCGGGTGGTAGACAGAGCCAACTTTGGTATTTCCCCTGGTTTAGGGAAGTCATAGTCTCAAGTAAGGGAGAGCCACCCTTTTTCTATAAAATAGCAGTAAATATTTTAGGCATCTTAGGCCACATATGATTTCTAGCATATACTTTAAGTCCTTAAAAACCTAACTATTCTTGGGGCGCCTGGGTGGCTCAGTGGGTTAAAGCCTCTACCTTCAGCTCGGGTCATGGTCCCAGGGTCCTGGGATCGAGCCCCACATCGGGCTCCCTGCTCGGCGGGGAGCCTGCTTCCTCCTCTCTCTCTCTCTCTCTCTGCCTGCCTCTCTGCCTACTTGTAATCTGTCTGTCAGACAAATAAAAAAAATATATATTAAAAACAAAACAAAACAAAACAAAACAAAAAACCTAACTATTCTTAGCTCAAGGACCATTACACACATGCACACGTGCATACCATGAGCTAAATGTGCCCACCCCCAGGTTTTAGTTTGCAAACCCTTGATCTACAGGAAATCAATCCTAAGCTCCCAAGTTGCTAAGGGCTATTTCAGAAAGGGAAAAATTACTAAAGATCCTCACCATGTAATTAGATGAAGTGGTCAGTTAAATACACAGATTTCTACCATGTATCTCAGACCTAAGTCATCAACTAAAGGAACTAAAGGAACTAAGTCTATACTTTCCCAATTCCCCAAGGGAGTCTTTGCACACAAGCTGGAGAACTGCTTGACAGGTTTCTTTTACGGCTCCCAATAACCCTGATTAGGCAATACCGTTGCTTGGCAATGGAGAAAACCCTATTGCTCAGCTGCTGTTTTCCTTCCCACACCTGTTTTTATAGCATAGCAGTTCTGTTTGCCAGCACCAAAATAGCCTTCCCTTTCCCATGGAGGTTACAGATCAAAATAGCTCCTTTTGAGCGTTTGTTCTATCTGCATCTTATCATTCATCTTTAGATACCCTTTGGAGAGGGTGCCATGAGCAAGCAAAGAAAGATTAGCTCACTTGCTAGAGATCACAACTAGATAGTGGCAAAGCCAGGACTCACACCAAGGCTCCAACTTCAGGATTTCTCAACCTCAGCATTATTGGCATTTCAGGCCTGAAATCCCTGTCAGAGGGGGCCCCGTGTGCAATGTGGGCTATTTAGCTGCAATCTCAACTTGTACAGACAGCCCCCCCACTCTAGTTGTGGCAGCCAATAAGGTCTTCAAAATGTTTCCAAACCCTGCCAAATATCCCCTGGGCAGACAAAACAGAAAGCAAAAACAAAACAATACAAAACAAAAAACAAAAAAACAACCAACCAATGTCCCAATGCTTAGGGACATTAAGCAACCCTGGTTGAGAATAAAAGCTCTTCCTTCAAGCCTATACCCTTAATTAGTAGGGTTACTAGTAGTAACTACTAGGTTACTAATTCCCAAATCACTCTTCAAAGCTATTACTTACCACTCTCTTGGTACAGGTCTCATATGGGACATTCAGGATGAGCTTTTCTGAGTCCAGGATGGAAATGCAGTTCCATGATTTAAAACTAATGGGATCTACAGAAGCCAGAGCAAAGAGCCAAAAAGTACATTTCAGTGGCAAAGTAAACCAAAGCTACATAGCCAGTCCTGCCAATCCATTTCTAAGTTATTTCAAACCACTTCACGTTTTATTGTCCCATCTGGTGATAGGACCCAAGCTTTGAGAGATGCTGTGATTTGCAACTAAAAAAATTCCCAGGGGATTCGGAGATAAATTTCTGAGGAAAGACAAGGTCTTCCACTCTTGGTGGTATCATGCAAATCAGAGACCCCTAGGGCATCATGGTAATTGGATGCCAGTTGCTCCCGAGTGTGTATTCTGTTCACCTGAAAAATGGGGCTAGCCTTGAGCCCAGGCCTTCCTACTAAGACGAAGATAAGAATATACACATTACCTACCCACCACAGATGCATGCCATTTTTCGGCACCCAGATTGCTTGGAAATTCCACTACCATTCTATTTTCATTGCAAAAGACAGTACCTGAAGAGAAAAGGAAGCAACTGGAGTATATCTGAGCTGTAGGAGACAGGATTCCTCCAGAAGTATATGGAGGACCTCTTCTCCAATAGGTATCAAGGAAGGGTACCATTTTTGAGAGGCAAAGCTTGACCCCCCCCACCCTCAAGGAGCTCACAGATTGGTGGAAAAGATGTACTTACTGTGCAAGATACTAACTATAAGAAAGATATCAAATGCCTGGGGCTTTCTGAAGTTCTAGCTTAGGTTTAACCACGCATACAGAGACCAGGCTAGAACCTTGACAGCAGAGCTGATGGAGGTGGGGATGGTAGGTCTGTGAAGAACTAGAGAAGAAATATTCTGTCTAAACACTTTTGAACTTGCAGTTTAAAAAACAAAACAAAACAAAAAAAACCCTACATGGAGCACCTGGCTGGCTCAGTCGGAAGAGCATGTGAGACTCTTGATCTTGGGGTGGGAAGTTCGAGCCCCATGTTGAGTGTAGAGATTACTTAAGTAAACTTCAAATAAAATGCCTCATGTAAGCCAAAGGACACTTCTTAAAGGCTAAATTCTTTTTTAGCCTTTTTTTAAAGGCTAAATTCTTTTTTAGCCTTTTTTTAAAGGCTAAATTCTACTTATAATCTGCTACTCTACATCCTCTCGCTCAGGGGAAAGTTTGAAAAGCTCTTATGAGTGGAACAATTTCAGTTTTGTCGGTTATGCTGATGCTTTCCTTAAGTACGAGTTTGGGTTTGAAAATGACTACTCCTGAAGTTGGGGGCTCAGTATTGTGTTTCACTGTTCTTTAGATAGATACCATAAATCTTGAGGTAATGAGGGAGTAGAAAGTAGTATGGGTGTTTTGCGAGATCTTTTGTTTAGCTAGTATAGCAAGCCATAGGAGAGCAATGGAAAAATCTTTTGACTTGATCAATGTAAGAAAGGGGTGAGTCGAGATTATCTGAGCCGTATTCAGGTTTCCTAGCTATCTAGTTGCAACCTGTTTTAGAGATGCTAAGAGCATTTCCCCTCACCCAACAGGCATACCTGGGAAGACAGGATCTCCCAACTGAAAAGCACCTGTTGAGTTCACTGAAGTCACAAGGATGAAGAATAAAGAAAGTGACCTGTAGGTGCTAAAAGGGGATTGGAGAGGATTAAGGAGGAATGAATTTCAACAGATAAGGCCATCGTGTCCCCTCTCTCTACTGTCAGGATTACTCACCTCCAATCTGCTCTAAACCAGCTTGAGGGGCTCCCACACACTCCCTTCTGTCCGCACGCCATGACCAAATGTATCATCAAATCAGCCAGGTAGGTGGGTGGGCGCCTCCTTTTTTTTATAGCAGAAAACAGGATGTGACCCTGCCCTCTCCCATTGGAGACACCTGAGTCTTCTCCAGCCCTCCCAGCTGAGAAAGAGGGATTTGGAACAGAAGAGGCCTTCTGGAAGGCCTGAAGGAAGCATCATTCTGCCCTTTCTGACACTTGCATTTCTGTTATTCTACCAGGTGCTCTGCAGGCTGCCATGAAACCAGAGCTCCCTGAAATTGGCTCCAGGTGAATGAATTGGTGTTTTTCTCCATAACACTGGGCAAAATTAGTTTCTTTGGGCAAAATATTTACAACTCCAATGTAGAGTGAAAGAAGGAGGTGGGTTTTATTGAGGAATGAATATCTCTTGTTCATACCACATTTCCTTTAAGTAATCCCCCTAGTCTCCTGGCTATTGGAGACATTACCCTGGTAACTAACCTTTACAGAAAATGGATGGTATAAAGGGGTGCCTGGGTGGCTCAGTGGGTTAAAGCCTCTGACTTTGGCTCAGGTCATGATCTTGGGGTCCTGGGATCGAGCCCCAGATCAGGCTTTCTGCTCAGTGGGGAGCCTGTTTCCGCCCTCCCCACCGCCTCCCTCTCTGACTACTTGTGATCTCTATCTGTCAAATAAATAAATAAAATCTTTAAAAAGAAAATGGATGATATATTATTTACCCCAAGTATAAAAGTTAAAACTACTGCAAAAAAATGCAGGCCATTATAGAAGGCTACAGAGCAAAGGAAAAAGTCACCTGTAATCTTGCCACTGCTAAGATTTAGGTATGTAACTTTATGGACTTTTTATACAAACACCACACACACTTAAAACCAACAACTTCGGATCAAAGTTTAAGTTGTTTCATAACCAGCTTTCACTATTTTACATGTGGTGGACATTTTCTTTATCAAACATAAAGATTGCCATTACCATTTTTAAGGATGCCTCATGTTCAATGTCTAGATAAATCAGTGTTTAACTGTTCCTAATGATGGACATTAAAAAGCTTCGTTTTCCAGTTCATCCAGGATGAATTCCTGGAGGTAGAAATTCTGGGTCAAAGAGAGGAGTGATCTAAATAAGAGTGTCATATTGTACCAGTGGGGAGTTTACACATGGGAAAAAGGAGGCAAAGCAACTTGTCCCAGCCTGTTGACAACCGAGTGTCAGAGCCATGTTGAGAACTCAGATTTTCTAAGGCCCAATCGACATATCTTTTCAGCATCTCTCACTGCAATTTGAGAACCTAGATGTCTGCAACCCTTGTTCTATTAATAGGTGATTAATGTTCAAATTCTGTGCAAGTTGCAGGGTCACATTTGCAATTATTGTGTTGTGTTTGTGGTGTAACTTTAGGAGTAATCTCCACTCCCCATTACAGGTTTCTGAAATGCAATTGTAGGTTAGAGTAGTATTTCCCCAACCTCCTTGATCAAAACATCACATGCATCTCTCATTAACAGCACAGATTCCTGGGTCTCACCCAAAAGCTGTGGAATCAGGCTTCAGGGGAGCATCCAGAGCGGATGGATGTATTGTTTAACAAGCACCCCAGGTGAGTCTTAAGATCAAGGAAATTTGGCAAATACCTGGAGGGAGGGAGGCAAGAAAATGAGTGGTTGCTAGCAGTTATTAACTTCTTCATGGGAATTAACCCATTCTGTTATAAGGAATTGGGGAGCCAGAGCAAAAGCCAAGATAAGCAAGTTTCTGGGAGTAGACGTGGTGAAAGGATTTGGATTCTGAGCAGAGGCACAATAGCAACAGTTAATCCTTTCCTCTGAAGCGTATTTTCTGAAAAGTGACACCTGTTCTGCAAATGTGAAGGTATTCTACCATGATGGTTAAGACTATGATGGGAAGGCAATAGAGGATGGAGTGTGGAGGGATGATTCCGAGAGACCTGGTCAGAAGTTGGTCAGAGAGCCAATAGGCAAATGTGTTACTCTACCTTCTGAGGTCCCACCCCCAGGCTCTTTCCCCGCTTCCCCCATGCTGTGCTTTTTCTCTAGAGTGTTAGGTCTTGCTTTAGGAAGGGCAGCTCTGGTCTCAGCCCCAAACTCGGGGTTCTGGGAGATGAAAGGGCAGCACAAAAGCCCTGAGCGGGAGGCATGGAGAGAAGGAGGATCCCTGTGGGCACTCAGAAGGTGGTGAGCCCACCAGAGGCTTATTTCATTAGCACACTTTGCCAATCACTACAAGGTATTTCCTCTCCTCTCCGAATGGGTCTCTCCTGGAGTGTCTTGAGGTGACTTACCGCTTGCTAATCGCCAGCCATTTCTTGAAGGGAACTTTAGGTTGTTATGCATAGGACCAAGAGTGTTGTTGCCCCATCAGGGCAGGTGCCCTCCTTACTTCTGAAAACCAGTTCTTACAAACGACAGTTTAAAATTCTTAAATTCCAAGATTTTTGTCTTATTTTCTACAATATGAACATATTAATAGAATACAGCCTTAATGTTATCATCAGGAGATGGTTAGATGAACCATCATCAAATACTAAGATGGATCTGTGGATTCAGGTGATCTGTGGAGGCTGATATTGAAGATGTCCACAATGAAATCGGAGCTTGGAGGTGTATAATTGTTTTCATATTTTACTTTAAAAAAAGGAAGAAACCGTGTGTGTGTCTATACATTTATGTGTCTGTGCATGGGTATATAAATGTGCATTTGCACTCAAAAGCCAGGAAGGCATTTCCGGAGAGCTAACCGTGTTACCCAGGGAAGAAGACCATGCAGGTCTTTAGGCGGTCCAGCCCAGTCCAGCTATGCTCGCCATTTATAACTGTTGTCGGTTCCGATTGGTTTGTGCTCTCCTTCTACTACTGGTTAGAAATGTATGTACTGTATCATCCGTAGAAATAGGGAGGTGGGAAACTCCTGTTTTCTGACTTTATTTTTTTCTGTATTGATTGAATTGTCTTGTGATAAAATAACAATTAAAATAACTTTAGGGGTTCCTGGTTGTCTCAGTCATTAAGTGTCTGCCTTTCACTCAGGTCACGATTGCAGCATCCTGGGACCTGCCCGGCCTCCGGCTCCCTGCTCGGTGGGAAGTCTGCTTCTCCCTCTCCCACTCCCTCCGCTTGTGTTCCCTCTCTCACTGTGTCTCTCTCTGTCAAATAAATAAAGAAAATCTTTAAAAAAAAAGACCCTAATATTAAAAAAATAAAATAAAATAACTTTAAAGTGATAACAGCAGTAACAGTAAATCTGAGTTGTATTTAAGTGAATAGTGTAAGCTATAGAATCAAAGGGTCCTGGGTTCCAACTTCCTGAAATAAAGGTATAACACCCTAGTGAGTGGATTTGGGTCATGAGGCTTCCAAAGTCCATATCCCTATTGTAAAATGAAGAAATGATGCCTAAGAGGTTTAGTAACTTGCTCAAGATCATATGGAAAATTAGCAGCAGAGCTCCAGTGATAAACTAGGTCTCAATGTCCATTCCCAAGCTCTAATTCATTATGATTTTTCTTTCTCTTTTTCCCTCTGTGTGTGTGCGTGTCTGTGCATGTATGAGGGGGTGTTTTAAAACTCAGTTTCAGTTAGCTTTAGAAGTACAAGATGGCATTAATTAGAATTTAGCAGTATAAGATAAATAAGAAGTCTAGAAACTTCTACCAGCTATGCTAATAGCACTTAAAATAGCTTTCAAATGTCAGATATGAATTTAACTTGGGAAATTAAGTTAGACTATGTCAATGAGAATGTTCGTGAACATCATATGGTAGTTCCTTTAACACTGTAACTCTACATTGTTAATGTCATTTTCCCCTTTGGTTCTTTAGACAGATCCAAGTTGAATAAGCTTCCTGATAATCATGGGCTCAGAAAGAACTAGGACAAAGGCATACGAAGTTTCAATGACCTGTAAATATAAGGATAGGGAAGCTTAGGGAAAAGGATGACAGAGATGGCTCAGAAGCTCTAAATAAAAATCCGTTTATATACACATATTAACATGAATTGCTCCACAGGTAGCTAGGGTAGTGGTTACCACAGAAATAGAGAAAAGGTTTCCTTGGCAATGCAGTTTATCCTTTTAGTTGATAGAATATATGTTAAATACTAAAGTTCTGAAGCTGATGCAGAGATCTGTTGCAAAAGTCACAATCTTCCACTTCTTCCTATACTGCTGTCCCTTATAATATGCTTGAGGTCAGCTTATTCCCTGTGCCCTTCCTTCCCCCCTTGAATCTGGCTGGTTTGACCAACAGAATGTGGTAGAAATGGCAATATGCCAGTTCTGAGCCTCGCTCTTTGGAGGTCTTTTTATTTAGAGCTAGAACCTCTAATTTAACTTAAAATGAGATCATTAGAGTGGGCCATAATGCAGTATGACTGCTGTCCTTAACAGAAGAGGAAATTTGGGCACAGACATACACCAAGGGAAGATAATGTGAAGACACAAGGAGAAGATAGCCATCTATAAGCCAAGGACAGAGGCCCAGAACAGTCCCTCACAGCCCTTAGGAGGAGCCAACCCTGCTGACACTTTGATTTCAGATTTCTAACTTCCAGAACTATAAGAAAAAAATTCTGTTGGCTAAGCCACCAAGTTTGAGGCACTTTATTGTGGTAGCCCTAGAAGACAAATACATATTCTCAGATTGAGATACAACTGTGTGTGACTATAAAATATGTTCTCATTTTACTGTAACATGGTAAGGGATAGGACCAAAAAACCCAAGTCCTAGTTGTTGTTACTTAGGAAAAAATGCAGAGAAAAGAAGTTTTAAGAAAATGCAGTAATTAGGGGCGCCTGAGTGGCTCAGTGGGTTAAACCTTTTACTTCAGCTCAGGTCATGATCTCAGGGCCCCAGGATCGAGCCTCGCATCGGGCTCTCTGCTCGGCAGGGAGCCTGCTTCCCCCTCTCTCTCTGCTTGCCTCTCTGCCTACTTGTGATCTCTCTCTGTCAAATAAATAAATAAAATATAAAAAAAAGAAAATGCAGTAATTATACATCTATGATTGACCTAAAGAATGGGGAGAGAGTTCTTACTTTTCTAGTAGTAGTAGTTCTGCTTCTACTCTACTTCTGCTTCTATTTCCAGTAGGATGACTACTAATTTACGTTCATTGAGTAATGACTATACACCACACACTGTGTGAAGTATTTTACAAAGACTAACTCTATCTAGTTACTTGCAACAGCCCTGTAAATAATATTACTTGCAATAACTCTGTGGAGTTTTCTCTTCATTTTATTGGCAAGAAAATGAAACTCGGAAGTAATCTGTCCAAATGAACGTCAGAATCTAATTTCTGGTTTAGTGTCTGTCAGTCTCTGACTTAAGAATCTGTGTTCTTAACCGTTACTGTGTTAGAACTTTGTTTCAACACAATGCATGGTGTTCACATTTGCCTGGTTTCCAATCCAACTATCAGCTTTGAGAGAACTGAATGGTTTTGATGGTATTTGATGATCTGCTAAAGGGTACTAAAACATACTCCCTTGTGGTAAATTCTGCCATCTTGAAACAAAATGGCAGCGAATATTGGTTTCCCAGTGATCATTGTTCTTGCAATTTTTTTTAAGAACTTAAGCTTTGGGTAAGTATTCATGTCCTATGAGTTTATTAATTGAAGTCCTCAATTCACAGAGCCACTAATTAAGGAGAAAGGGGAAAAGGCAAAAGAAAAAGGAAATTTGTCTAGCTAATAAAGCCAGCTGATTGAAGTGTAGAATTTAAATTCATAGTCCCTGCTTAGACTATCCAGTGTTCACATTTTAAAGAATTTGTTTTTGGAAACCTTTCTAAAACTCTCCACTGTTACAATGTAATGCCATCTGGGATTTAGCATTTATAAAATGTGCAGTTAAGAGATGCCAAGAGATTCCTCATGCAAACCAGATGGTACAATAACAGCTCTGTCTGTTTTTCTGGCAGAGAAATGGGGCTTTGAATGGCTTGAAACTTATGTGAATAAATTAAGCCCAATCAATACTTCAGGGACATTACAATTTTAATAGTCGACTTACCCACCTAAATATTTTCATAAATGTTTTCATTTGGAGAAGAAAAAAACAAAGTGCAGACAATGGTTCCTTTGATTGCCTCATGTTTGTATTTAACAATGTTTCTAAGAAAAATACCACCAATGACCTTCAACGTGGGAAAGAAAGTTTCTCCGTATTTTAAGAGTGGTATACGTGTTTAAATAAGAAGCAAGGTTTTTCAGTCTCTTTTGAATAGGAAAAATCCACATTAGAGAGGTTGAAGAGTTTTATTGCTATGCAGAGGAGAAAAAAAATACATGTGTAAGTGACATTTTCTGGATAATGGACTTGAAAATGTCTTTACCTCAACAGGTAGGTTTCTCACAAACCCAAGTTCAGCACATAAAGTCGTGTATTAATGATGCCTTTTATGACCTTGCTTAATTCCTGTAAGTTTTCTGTGCAACAACAGGGCTTTTGTAATCCTTTTTAATTATTTTCACTTTCTGTTTTTGCTTTTATTTTCATTAGAATTCATAGTAAGATGCTCATTAGATGAAGTAATCTTGTTAAAAGCAAACATTTTGCTTAGGTCTTTTCTTTTTCCTTATTAGGTGAAAATGTGCTTCCCTACCATACAAGTGAATTTCCTCTGTAATTAGGCATGAATAGCTTTGGAGAACAAATACAGGCTGCTTTTGAAAACCGGATCTCTTGAGGTTTAGAGGGTAATCTCATTAATAAAAATATGTGTTTCTGGATTGCATGAGCCATTGAATTTCTTTCCCAATTAGCAATGAATGGTTTTTCAGAACAAAGGAGAAGTTTGGTTTCCACTTTGCTGGCATTGGTTTGCCTTGGTGTAGACTGGAGGTACCAACTACTACTAATCTTTGTTACTTCCATCTCTCTCCCTGGGCAAAGGAACACACAGGACTCTGTTTTATAGATAAGACAGAATCCCAGGTAAATTCTCCATCCAAGGGCTACTTCCTCTCAGCCAGGATTGGATTCCAGGGTAGATGGGACAACTGCTTACAACACTCAGCTGTCATGTAGCTGGGTGGTGGCAGGAGAGGCCAGAAAATGATAAACACAGCAGTAAAAAGTGGACAATGCCTTTGCTTTTTGCATGGAGGGGGAGACCCTTAGTGAGAGACTCTTTCCAAGTGCTTTCCCTGGGCTCCCAATTAACCCTTTTTTCGTGGGTCATTGGCAAAAAAAAGAGTATTGGGGTCTAGGGCCTCTCAAAAGTAAAATAGTTAAATGCTTGAAATGTCAGGTAATAAGTGAGGGTTCAAGAAAACAAAGGAGGAAAGGAAGCCTACTCCCTTTGAACCTAAGTGGCAGCCAGAGGAACATAGAAGTCCATAGCTAGATGTTTCTCTAAAGTTACACTAATATGGCAGAGTATAGGCAGGTGGGGGAAGGGCAGGTTTTTGTTACAAGAGAAGTTGATGAAGGCCTTGCCTTGCTTGGTAATGGAACAATTTGGGAGAGGGTCATGGACATTTAAGTCTGACCCATAAAGTCTCTCCACTAATGTATAGAGCAGATATTTTTCTCTGAGCTTCAAAGAGCCCAACAGCATACTGTTGGAACAGATTCAACTACTTATTTCCACAAGGCCAATTACCATCAAAACATAAAGTTACAAGCCACAGTTGCCCCACAATTACCTAGACCCCTCATGAACAGTTAGGGTCTAAATTATATGCAAAATCTGTCTTATTTTCATTAATCTCTGCCCTCATCATCTCCTACCAATTTTTTCCCTTTGTACTTGGAGAAGTACGGTAGAAAATAAGAAAAAAAGACCAATTACTAAGTTTTAGTTCTCTACTCCCTTAGCCACAATCACATGGCTTCTTCCCATTTATAAAACCATACTTTACAGTTTGTAAGAAATTTTATCTCATTTCACTTTCACTACTATAAGCTTAGATGATGATATGATCATGAGCAATATTCCCTGATTTTAATATTTTTAATATTTTAATATTTTTTCTTCACAAAGAAATGGAGATTCAAGTAGATGCTGTAATTTCTTCTAGATCATATGGACTTCAGGTCTTCTAGGTCTAAGTTCAACCCCCTTTGAAGAAGTTTTTCCAAGCAGATGCCAAAGGGTACCAGGATATTTACTATTAAAAAAACAAACAAACAAACTCAGATGTCTTACTGTTTCACAGGAGAGTTTAGGTCCAAGTCATAAATACTGCTGGAGTTGAGAAACTTCCTTCTCCTCCATTTTCAACACTTCTTCTCATCTGATGTTTACTGAGGCCTGTACTGGTTCTATTAGGGGGACAACTTTTATAAAAATTTTCTGTTTGCTTGAAAAGAACATGTATTTGGGGCGCCTGGGTGGCTCAGTGGGTTAAAGCCTCTGCTTTCGGCTCAGGTCAGATCCCAGGGTCCTGGGATCGGGCCCCGCATAGGGCTCTCTGCTCAGCAGGGATCCTGCTTTCCTTCCTCTCTCTCTGCCTGCCTCTCTGCCTACTTGTGATCTCCGTCTGTCAAATAAATTAAAAAAAAAAAAAAAGAAAAGAACACGTATTTTCTTTTTTTTTTTTTTTTTTAAAGATTTTATTTATTTATTTGTCAGAGAGAGAGAGAGGGAGAGAGAGCAAGCACAGGCAGACAGAATGGCAGGCAGAGGCAGAGGAAGAAGCAGGCTCCCTGATGGGCAAGGAGCCCGATGTGGGACTCGATCCCAGGACGCTGGGATCATGACCTGAGCCGAAGGCAGCTGCTTAACCAACTGAGCCACCCAGGCGTCCTGGAACACATATTTTCTAAAGAGTATAGAGTTCTACATAGGATTGTTAAATCAAGCATTTTAACTGTGTTCAGATCTTTTGTATTTTTACTGATCTTTAGTCTGATATATAATGTCAAGATGGTGTATTAAAATCTACTGTGATTGTGGATTTGTTCTTTCTCTTCTAATTGTATTAATTTTTTTTCTATTTTGGGGCTATGTTATTATGTACATACAAGTTTAGGACTATCATATTTTCTTGATGATTTTTTCCTTTCATCATTACATATTATCTGTCTTTATCCCTAGCAATATTTTTTTTGGCTTAAACTGTATTTTGTCTGATGTAAATATAGCTATATCATTTTTTTGGTCAGTATTTCCTTTTTATTAAGATTTGATTTATTTATTGAGAAAGAGAGAGAGAGTGCACGTGCTTGTGTGTGGCAGGGAAAGGCAGAGGGAGAGAGAGAATTTCAAGCAGACTCCATGCGGGGTGCAGAGTCCACAGCAGGGCTCTATCTCACCATCCTGAAATCATGACCTGAGAGGAAATAAAGAGTTGAATGCTTAACCAACTGAACCACTGAGGTGCCCCTGTCAACATTTTCTTGATGAAACTTTTCCATTTTTTGTTTTCAATTTTTCTGCAATTTTATATTTTAGCTCTATTAGAAATAAGATATGGCTGGGTCTTCTGACTGATGAACTTGATCCATTTACATTTTTTTCTTTTTTTAAGACTTTATTTATTTATTTGACAGAGAGAGATCACAAGCAGGCAGAGAGGCAGGCAGAGATAGAGAGAGAGGAGGAAGCAGGCTCCCTGCCAAGCAGAGAGCCCGATGTGGGACTCAATCCCAGGACCCTGAGATCATGACCTGAGCCGAAGGCAGAGGCTTAACCCACTGAGCCAACCAGGTGCCCCTACATTTATTTTTATTACAGATAGATTTGAACATTTTTTTTGGTTTTACATTATGCTCTTTATTTATATTAATTTTTCTATTGTTTCTTCCTTTCCTTAGGGTGGAAGTTTAAATTATTGATTTGAGATATTTCTCCTTTTCTGAACCAGTCATAAAATTGCTGATTTCTTCCCCAAGCTCTGTTTTACATGCATCCTATAAATTTCGAGATGTTGTGTTCTCATTTTCATTCAGTTTAAAAGAAATCTGGTAAAGAAATTTTGTCAAAAATATATAAAGAAGTCTGGGGCACCTGAGTAGCTGAGTCGGTTAAGTGTCTGCCTTTGGCTCAGGTCATGATCCCAGGGTCCTGTAATGGAGCCTTACATCCAGCTCCCTGCTCAGCGGAGAGCCTGCTTCTCCTTCTCCCTTGGCCTGTCCACCCCACTCCCTTCTGCTGCTTGTATACTCGCTCTTTCTGAAATAAATAAATAAATAATCTTATTTCAGAAATAATCTTTCTGAAATAAATAAATGAATGAATAATCTCTTTCTGAAATAAATCAATAAATAATCTTTAGAGAACTCTTGTAACTCAATAATATGATAATATCCCAATGAGAAAAATGGCCAAAGAATTTAAATATAAGATGAAAGAATGGCTAGTAAGCACAGTGACAATATGCTCAACATCATTAATCAGTAGGAAATGCAAATTAAAACCAGAATGATACCACTTCACACCCACTGAGGATAGCCATAAACAAAAAGACAATAGAGGCTACATGGATATGGAGAAATTTTCACCATCCATTGCTGGTGGGACTGTAAAACAACAGTCTGGTCACTCTTGAAAACAATTTGGCAATTTCTGAAAAAGTCAAATATAAATTGCCGTATAACCCAGCCATTCCACTCTTTGGTATAAACATGACACACAAAATGAGGCATAAAATTATATGTCAAAAAAAATTATATGTCTACACAGACACGCGTTTCAATGCTCATAGCAGCATTACTCATAAAACCAAAGAGGGAACAATCTAAATGTCCATCAGCTACTGGGTGAATAATGAAAATTTGGTATATTGGCATAATAGAATATTACTCAGCAATAAAAAAGAAGTATTGCTACATGCTAAAAAATGAATGAACCTCAAAAAATTATGTGAAGCTTAAAAAAAATCTCTGGACAGAAAGACCATATATTTTACGATTCCATTTATATGAAATGCCTATATAAAGCAAATCTACAGAGACAGAACACAGATTAGTGGTTTCCTGAGGTTGGGCATGGGAATGGGGACTGACTACAGATGAACATGAGGAATATTATAAGAGTGATAGATATGTTCTAAAATTTGATTATAGTGATACTTGCACCACTGTAAATTTGCTAACAATCTTTGAATTAATACACTTTAAATGTGAATTTCATAGTATATAAATTATACCTCAATAAAAGAGTTTTAAAAAATAGACCCTCCCCCGAGAACTAGACTAGTTCTGAATTGTTTGGAAATTATTTTGTACATTCTGTGCCTAGATGACCAATATTACATTCAAGACTTGCTAATGGACATAAATTAAATGTGACTCACAGCACGAAAGATGAACCCAGCAGGCCTCAATACTCGATGTCCTAGCTATGCCAGAAAGGAAAGGTCCAAGGTCAGGGCCATGAACCTTTCTGGCTGCCTTCCATGGGGGGAGGCTGGAATGAGCTTTGTCCTGGGGTGACACGCTACCTTGTCACTGATTAACCAGCTTTGTAGGAAGGCTGCTTCACTGACCATCTGCTCTGCCTAGAGAGTGATATCTGGCCAGGCTTTGGCAAGCAGAAAAAATGTCCACTCGCTACCACCAAGCGGCTAGTGATAGCTACCTGGAACTTCTGAAAGAGGCTACTAAGAGAGATCTGAATCTTTCCGACGAAGATGGCATGACTCCCACACTCCTGGCAGCCTATCATGGGAATCTGGAAGCCCTAGAAATAATCTGCAGCCGAGGGTGAGTTCAACCTAGTAGTTTTGATTGGAGACGGTGCTTCTGGTAGGATTTTGCAGACAACAGCAAGAAACAGGGAAGTCAATGAAAATATTTTGTCCTTTATAGACTGTGTAAATAACTGGCTTTTTAGAGAAAGGGAGAAAACTGCCTGGACGTGCTCCTTTCACACTAACAGCTGGCACCACGGGGATGGCTTGTCCCTTATGAGCCACAAAGAGAATGATTCTGAGCCTTTAGGCTTTGTTATCTGCCTTGGGGATGGGACATATATTTTAATTCTGTGCTTTTAAAAATCTTTTCCCTGAAATGTAAACGGTTGACTCTTTAAAAATGAATCACTGTTCTACTTGACTTGAAGATGTCAAACGTGATTGGAACAAATGGTGTGTTTTTTATTTATTTTTTATTTATTTTTTGTCTGTGGCATTATGATCCCACAGCCTTTTATTAATATTCAGTCCTAACTCAAGCCCGTGATTTTTAGATGAAGTAGTTGGCTTTACAAGCTATTAAAGGGAACCTCAGCCTGTCTGAACTTTACTAGCTATTAGATACATACACATGACCACACACCACCCTCCAAAGTTCTAATGCTGGAATTAGCTAGCTCTTTTCTTCTGCTTGTTACCAGAGGGGCTAGGCAGTGTTGGCAACTGTAACCCAATACATTAAAAAAAGGAAAAAAAAGAAAATGTTAATAAAGGCGCTAAGTGAGTTAATTTCAAATTCGTACATATTGATTTATATATATATCTGCAATGTACCGGCCATTTTATTGGCCACTGGAGATGCTGGGATGAACAAGAGAGACACCATTCCCCTCCTCATGGTGATCAAATTTAAGAGGAAGATAGAAATTAAGTAAGTCATGTTTGATATAGGTTACAAAGGGGGGAAAAGGCAGCACTAAATCAGTAACACAGGCATCTATCCCAATCCAAGGAGTGTGGATAGGCTTTCCAGAGCCTTGGAGTTGGGACTTGAAAGGTGAGAAGAAGCTTCTTTCCAGAAGATGGAAGGAAGAATGTTTCCTGCAAGTGAGAGCGCTGTGCATTCCAGACACTGAAGCTGAGCATGGCTGGGTGTGGATTTCACGGGGAGAGGCCAGGATTTAAGGAGGAAGACCAGCTCACAAGAGCCTTGGAAACTCTGTTGGGGAGTTAATTGAACTTTGTCCCAAAGACACAAAAAGCCATTGTCAGGTTTACTCAGGGTAACTGACGTGGTAGATTTGTGTTTACAGAACTTGTTTGGGCACCTGTATAGCAGGCACAGAAAATGTTCCGGGGCATTTCAGTGGTTGAGATGAGAGACAAACTGGACAAGGGCAGTGGCCATGGGGATGAGGAAACAGGGGTGGATTTGAGTGGCAGTTTGGATGCTGAATCAATTACAGTTGACTGGATGTTGTGGTGGGTGGAGGAAGAGGAAGGTGAGGCCCCATGTTCTGTTGTGTTAAGTTTCCCTGAGGTACACAGGTTGAAAAAAATGTTGTCCAGGTTTTCTTAGGTTCCCATACTGACCATAGTTTAGGAGCTGTGTGAGATCAGTTTGCCAATTAGATTTAAGGGGCTTAAAAAGGGAAACAAATTACAAATTGAATTTAGATGTTAATCAATCATTCATCATTGACAGTGGCTCACGTGGTAACCATTAATATCCAATATCTGGCTTTGTTAAAAATTGTTTCTTTCTTTTCAAAATTTAAAGATGAAAAGAGCAGTAATTACATATGTTATCTTACACTTGGAAGATGGCCCCAATTAACAAAATTCCATTTTGCCTATAAAGTGTACATGGATTTTTTTAGTTTTGTTTCTTTTTCTAATGGAAGCAAGTGATATACCTCCTTGATTTTTTTTTTCAAGATTTTATTTATTTTTTTGACACAGAGAGAGAGAGGGTGTGAGTGGGTACAAGCAGGGGGAGCCCGAGGAGGAGAAGCAGGCTCCCTGCTGAGAAAGGGGGCCTATGCAGAACTCAATCCCAGGGCCCCTGGATCATGACCTGAGCAGAAGTCAGATGTTTAACTAACTGAGCCACCTAAGTGCCTCTTCCTCCCTGATTCTTAGTGGAACACACACTTATTGCAACATTTTGCAGTGTTATTAGAAAATCATATTTAGGGGCGCATGGGTGGCTCAGCTGGTTAAGTGGCTGCCTTCGGGTCATGTCATGATCCCAGGATCCTGGGGTTACCCTGCATCCGGCTCCCTGCTCAGTGGAGAGCCTGCTTCTCCCTTTCCCTGCCACTCTGCCTACTTGGGCTTTCTCTCTCTCTCTGTCTCTGTCAAATAAATAAATAAAATCTTAAAAAAAAAAAGAAAGAAAGACATTTAATAAAATAAAAATCAAACCAATTTTCACAGTCATTAACATTTGGGCATATATTCTTCCAGACTTTTTCCTTTGTGAACATATACACACAAGCACATTTTCCCCCCTTATAAAAGGCAATCATGTTATACAAACTATTCTAAAGCTTGATTCTAATTATTTAAGAATAGACTATGGACCATTTGAACTTTTTTTTTCCATTTGTAACTTTAAAGGAGAAATCTACTCCACTGTTTTTTAACAACTACATGGTTATGGTTTCATCATAATTTATTTAATCAGTTGCTTATTCATGACATTTAAATTTGAATCCAGTCTTTTAACATATAAATAAGTTGAAATGAACATCCTTGCTTATTCATCTTTGTACAAAGGTCTAATATTTCCTTAGAATAAACTCTTAAAGGCAGAATTGTTGATTCAAGAGAGTGCTATGTTTTAAAAGCTTTTGGCACATATTGTGCCAGGAAATTTGAACCACTTTATAATTCCTTCATCAATGTTTATTTGCCAATACTCTTGCCAAAACTGAGTATTACTATTCTTTTTAATCCTTGCTTATCTGATGGGCAGGAAAATGGTAGTACATTGTTTTCATTTACATTTCTTTGATTATTAGTAAGTCCAAATATTCTTTATGTAGAAAAACCTTTTTGAAAGACTGATATTGTTTTCTGAGAACAGCTTCACCAAAAAAAAAAAAAAAAAAAAAAAAAAAAAAAATCAAATCAACTCCAAAAGAAAGAATTGAAAAGGACCAGATGCTCAGAGTAAGTTAATATAAGCAAATTGCCTATTTAGTGACAATACCAATCCAGCTTTAGAAACTGGTGGGAATAGCCTGAGGGGAAACTCCTGAATTATCTTTCCAACAGTTTCATCTATAAATCTGAAATATTGCATTTGAAATTTTCTTAAAATGAGACCCATCTTTGGGGTCATCTCAAGGTTTTCTTCATGTTCTTCCTCCTATTTTGAAAGGTTCATTTAAGTTCTCTTGAGAAAGGAAAATTCCACTACTTTACTTGTCTCAAAGCAAGTAGATTTAACCTAAACTTCTTACTACCCTTAACATCCCCACCATAGGGACGCCTGGGTGGCTCAGTTGGTTAAGCAGCTGCCTTCGGCTCAGGTCATGATCCCAGCGTCCTGGGATCGAGTCCCACATCGGGCTCCTTGCTTGGCGGGGAGCCTGCTTCTCCCTCTGCCTCTGCCTGCCATTCTGTCTGCCCGTGCTCGCTCTCTCTCCCTCTCTCTCTGACAAATAAAAAAAAAAAAAAAAACATCCCCATCATAGCTCACTCCGCTCAGTAATATCTTTTTTAAGTTATCCAATTCAATAATAATTTCAGCAAATTTAACCAGTATGTTTTTGTTTAGGTTTATAGTACCATCTTGGATTTTTTTTTTTTTTAATTTTATTTAGTTATTTGACAGACAGAGATCACAAGTAGGCAGAGAGGCAGGCAGAGAGAGAGAGGAAGGGAAGCAGGCTCCCTGCTGAGCAGAGAGCCCGATGCGGGGCTCGATCCCAAGATCCTGGGATCATGACCCGAGCCGAAGGCAGCAGCTTTAACCCACTGAGCCACCCAGGCGCCCCCCATCTTGGATGTTTTTAACAATCCTTCTTTGATGTCTAGAGTACTTAAGGAGTCTTTTAGATATGGTGCTTGGTTAAAATAAATAAAAAGTAAAACTACAGCTTTGGGGGTGAGGCACTACGTGCCCCCCTAAGGTATACATTTGTGCAAAGGCTGGAAGAGCTTTCCTTTGATCCAAAACAAATCAGGAGTACTGACCAAATCTCTTGGAAGTGACTGCCCAACAGAACTGTCTTATTTAATATTTGCTTTCCTTAGATTAAATTTCATTTTCTTACCTTCCTCTTTGCCTGGATTTCTCTCGCCCCCATCTCCATGCACTCTGGTCACGCTGAAATGTCCTCCTGGTCCCCCAGATATGCCATGTTTAACATCACCCATATGGGCATCTGTTCACGCTGTTCTCTGCTCAGAAGGAAGTTGCCAGCGGCCAGCTTATGGGCTGGATCTAGTCCACAAATGTGTTTTATTTGGACTTCACAGTATTTTTCTTTTAAATTTGAGCCAACATTTCAAAAAAAAAAAAAAAATCCCGCATGAAATTCCTGACTTCGGGCTCCGTTTGGAAAATGGAAGGTCTGGCTATATTGTGTCCGCTGGGATTCAAGGTGGCAGTCAGATGCTTCTGAACTACCGCTCTCCTTTTGCATTGGAGCTTGCACTCAGCTATGACTTTTCAGAAAGAAGAAACATGGCTCCATTCAGCTACCTGCTTGGTTTCTTTGGGTTGAGTCTGAGACTTCTGCTGGGAGATCCGACACAAAGGACAAAAAGACACAAGTGTGGCCCTCCGAGGCCTATTATCTAATTAGGGAGATTGGCACGTAAATGTTGGACAAATTAAGTAAGATTTCAAGTGTTAAAAAGTTGCAGACGCTATTACGGTGCTATTACAGAAATTCATCAGATGGGTGTGAGGAAAAAGTAAATATATGAAATTAGGGATTATGAGTTTAGAGACAAGGGAAATTATAATAAAGTTTATTGGAGATTAACTAGGTACCAAGCATATGTCTAATGCTTTATGTTAACTTTTTCACATAACAACTCCATGAAAATTATCCTCATCCTCATCCAGAGGAGGACACCGAGTCCTATAAAAGTTCAGCTTGAGGCCTTGTAGCTGGGCAGGTAGAAAAACCGAGGTGTGTTAAGGTAAGACTCTATTGTGCTGGAGACCATTCGACTTCTGATCCCAGGTGTGCTGGGATCCCAGGTGTGCTGCCTGTGTCACACCAGGCCAATGAGTTAGGCACTTGGAGCCTTATTTTATCCTTATTCTGATCCCAGGTGTGCCTGATCCCAGGTGTGCTGCCTGTGTCACACCAGACCAATGAGTTAGGCACTTGGAGCCTTATTTTATCCCTCTGATAATTATACTGGTCTTTATCCAAGAAGGAGATGATGACGGTTTTGGCTGGGATGGCACTGAATGTATAGATGCTCATAACTGAAGAGCGGGAGGAGATCAGGGGTTCCCAAGAGGAGTTATATATCTGATCCATTAAATTACTGGACACCGGTTGGGCTGCATTAAGCAGTAGGACTCTTTTCAATCTGCAGTGAGCCTATATATCACCTTGGGATCTTGTTAACTTCAGATCCTGATTTAGGAAGTCTGGGCAGGGGTCCAAGATTCCGCATTTGTAGAAAACTAGCAGCCGCCGGCACTCTTAGTGAAGCAGAGACCAAACTTTGAGTAGCACGGAATAGTGGAAGCGTCCCCAGAGCGTTGAGGTGGCTGTCGCAAGGGCACAGATCTTCTCTCCTCTTTCCACATCCTACTCACCAAGAATGTCAAGAGGCCTTCTCAGGCCCTCTTTCCTGACCTCCCACAGGGCCAGCCTGGGGAAAGTTTAGTGAGGTTCTGATTTGGTGATCTAGTCTAGGGTGGGGGAAGATGACCTTTAGTCCCGGTATTATTAGAGTTCTCAGCAGGGGTTTGGGCTTAAGGCCAGAGCCATAGTAACTATAAATTACTACTTTACTTTCTGTTTGCGTCTGTTTGTAACTCACCATCTCATAGGAGACGTGTGGTTGTAGCCTGGGGCAAGATTCCATTAGGCATTCATTCATCTCACACATGTTTACTGAGCGTTGACCAAGTGACTGTTCCTGTGCTGGCCTGGGGTTTCTGGCCATCTAACAGTGCCTCTAATTCCACCCCAAACTGTTATAGAACTATTCACATAGGGGACACTGTAATTACAGGGAAGTAAGTTGGGGAATCAATGGAAATGTTCTACCCTTTATATGAATACTGGTTATAGTAGATATGGTTACCTACCCAATATTCATTCCCCTCTTTTTGCTGATGGGATCCCAGTTTTGTTCAGTTATTTGTTTTCCTACCCGTGACTCTGGTGAGGTAACACTGTTAGAGTGAAAACCTGCTCTTACCAGCTCATGAGAAATGATTCTAAGTTTTCAGAAGTCTGAGAGTCTGTTAAAGAGTCATTACTAAAAATAAAGTATTTAAACTTAAAATTTAACAAACTGTATTTTTAAATACTCAAAACTTAACACTTCTTAATGATTTGAGTACATTTTACTATTATCTATACTCTTAAGATTTTGCATATCTATTATACCTATATGTATGGTGGGAATAATTTATAAAGGTGTACCTTTATAATTTACAAAGGTGTACTGTACATCTCTTCCCAACTCCATGTCCAGTAATATAACATTAGTAGCTTGGATTTTGCCATGGTGGGTGTATTTACAACCAAAAACTGGCACATGCTATAAATCAGAGATTTGATCTCCCCCCTTTACAGGTTGTTAAACATTTACCAGCACACCACTGGATAATCTTATCCCTAACTGCGGGGGAAGATTTTAAACTACTTAAGTTAAAAATGGTAGCTCTTTTTCTCTTCCTAGAGAAGAGAAATGGCATGTGACCCAATTGTGGACAACAAGACATGAAAGTTGCTTTTTTGGGAGAGTTCTTGGAAAGCTTTCCCTGCTTCTAAAAAGGAGATAAAAGGTAGAGATGAGCTCTTTCTGTTTCTGATCCTATGATGGCTAGATGTGATATAGCTGGACTTTCAGAATGCTGAGGCAGGATTAGCATTTTTATTAGTATTTCTATTTTTTTTGGACCTCACATTCTAAGAAAAAACACTTTTTGTATGTATTTTTCATATTTTCTCTTCTAGAGGGGACCCCAATAGATGCGACATCTGGGGAAATACTCCTCTGCACGTTGCAGCCTCCAATGGTCATACCCACTGTGTTTCATTCCTGGTCAACTTTGGTGCCAACATCTTTGCCCTGGACAACAACTTACAGTCTCCGCTGGATGCTGCTGCCAGCAGAGAACAAAATGAATGTGTTGCTCTCCTGGATAAGGCTGCCACTGCCCAGAATATCATGAACCCCAAGAAAGTTATCAGGCTGAAGGAGCAAGCTCAGAAGAATGCCAGGAGGCAGATCAAGGAATGTGAGAAGCTCCAAGAGAAGCATGACAGTAAGATGGCTCGAAACTACAACAAGGAGGAATCTGGGACTCTTTCCTCCTCCATGTCATCCCTTTCAAAAGCTTCTGCTTCTGGTACATTTGGGTCCCTGTCTAAGGGCATTAAAGACACCTTCAAGATAAAGTTCAAGAAGAACAAAGACACAGCAGAGCAGGTAGGAAAGGAGAGCAGAAGTGAGCAGAGGAATGTGATGGAAGTGTTCAGAGAAGAGGAAGAAGACAGATTCTCAGGGGATTTCCAAGACAAGCTCCAGTTTTCAGAAGAGGAGGGCAGTTGTGTGCAACATGAATCCATTCTCAACCGTCCAGGTCTAGGAAATATTGTTTTTAGAAGGAACAAACTATCAAGTGCCGAAGACATCTCAGACAGCAAGAGGGAGTTAGGGTTTAAAATGAGCAGCGAATTGCTGCAGAGACAAGGAGCAGCAGAGGCTGATGAAGCCGAGGCTGGTAGAGAGGAAGAGGACAACAGCCATGAAGACGATCTGCCTTGGGATGAGGATGAAGTGGAGTGGGAGGAAGATGTGGTTGATGCTACTCCTCTGGAAATATTTTTGCAGTCCCATCATCTGGAAGAATTCCTTCCCATTTTCATGAGAGAGCAGATTGATCTAGAAGCTCTGTTGCTTTGCTCTGATGAGGACCTTCAGAGTATACAAATGCAGCTTGGTCCCAGGAAGAAAGTTCTTAATGTCATAAACAGAAGGAAGCAGGTGCTACAACAGCCTGGGCAACTGGTCGACACCAGCCTCTGATGGAATGTTGGGTCCACAGGGTGAGCCTGCAGCGATGGGGTGATGCTGTGGCTCACTGGAAACACTCAGGCAACACCCCCTCTGCCCAATGCCAGACCACTGGGATTGTTTTCTAGGGTTTCAGAGATACCCTCCTAAAAAAAGAAGCCCAAACTGTACTCTGAGAAATACTCTATACCTGTGTACTCTGACCACTAGTGAGCAACTCAGGGAGACCTGGGAATAAGAAAAGGGTGTTTCTCTTCAATTGTCTTTTTGATATTTTTGTGTATAGAAAGTGTTAAATGGATGACAGAGAAGAGAGAAACTGTCTTTACTTTTCCAACTCTGGGCTTAAAAAGTATAATCTCTCATCATGCAAGTGTGGTGCATACTTTCTAATCCTCATAGCCTGGGGACTTCCGACTCCAGTTCTGTCCTTAGCTCTATGACTTTGTCTGTTGGTGGAGACTTGACTTCCTCCACTGGCCTGAGGATTCACACCCAACTTGAACGTGTCTAACCCATCGACAGTTGTTTGCATGTTTACAAGTAATGGACATGGGTCTGTAATACTCCTTCCTGGGAACAGAGACAGAGTGGCACGTAGGGAGAGTGAAGAATGAAATAGAATACCGGGTACCTTTTATAAAATATGGATTGTATCTCCCCTAAATTCATATATTGAAAACTTAAGCCCCAACATAGCTGTATTTGGAGGTAGGACATTTAAAGAGTTGATTAAGGCTAAATGATGTCATAAGGGTCATAAGGGACACAAATGGATGGTGTCCTTGTAAGAGGAAGAGACACTGGGGATGTACATGCACAGAGAAAAGGTCATGTGAGGACACAGTAAGAAGACAGCCCCCTACAAGCCAAAGAGAGAGGCTTCAGCAAAAACCAAACCTTCCAACACCTTGACCTTGCACTTCCAGCCTTCAGAGATGTAAGAAAATAAATTTCTGTTGTTTAAGCCACCCAGTCTGGGGTATTTTGTTACGGCAGTCTTAGCAGTCTAACACAGTGCTGAAGCAAGAGGATAAGAGTGGAGAGAAAAGAAGGATAGTGAAAAAAAAGTCTGACCTCTTTGATAATTTTCCTAAAGGTAAGTGGCTTCTGAGATTTCAAAAAGGGGGAAAAAAATCTAGGTCATTTGTAGGAGAAGGCTGATGATAAAAGGAAATTTTACATTTTCCTGCTTGTTATGTGCTTATCTTTTATTTACTGTTGTCTGTCATCATTACCGCATGTCTGAATATGTGTAAATTCTGCAATATAAATCAGCAGCATTGCTGCTGACATTTCTGAACGGCAATCCCAAATTCAAATTGAAGCCCGAATGAATAGCTAAGCTTCCCTGGATTTTTATAGCCAGGACTTACATCAAGTGGAATTTACCATTGATTGTGTATGTAATATAGAAACAGCTGTTCATCTTCAGCGTGGTTTCTCTCGCACATCTGTTTGGGTTGCTTCAAGAGGCACCATGGAGAGGATAAGCTTAAGGAGGATACAGATGTTTACATCTGATGAACAATTGGCTCATTCTTCCTCAATGGATTGATTCAGGAAGATTGTCAGTCGTGGAATAAATATGTTGCCCTAGGGGATGATTATGTTTACAAATACCATATTTTGTTGGTCTGGAACAAACGGAGGTTGCGTTTGTTTTCAAAAAGTGTGCACAAAAACGGTTGCTGTATAGAAGACACCCAGAAAAAGTTCGTTGTATCTGAGCCTGCCAGTATCGTACCTCATTATTTTAGACACCAGGATCCTCTCTCTACATATTCCCCAGAATCTGCCTAATGAGATCTTGGTTCATAGGATATAGGAGAAGTAGAAGTCACCAGAAGTGTGTTGCTGTTAACAAAAAAGGTGCTTTCTAACAGTGCTTTGTACATCATTGTCAGAAGCAAAAGTAATATAGAAAGCCTGGTGATATATTCTAGCAAATGAGAGGCAGCATGAGGTTGTACAAAGAATTTTGAGCTGGAAACCAGCATTACTGTGCGGAGGATAGAATATCACATTATGGAAATGGAAAGATACCTCTTTGGGAGAACGAGAAAAGTCAGGCCAGTGGAAATGTTACCGGATCTTAGATTTAAAGGATTTAATTCTAAGTGCTTCGTGGGAGTTCCTCGTTTCTATTTGGAATTTTCCATGCTGTCCTACTGGAGGGGCAGCATTTGGCTCAGAAAATACGGGAAGGAGAATGTTTATTTGTCCAGTAGAACTGGAGCTCTGACTGCGACCACCCCCTTGGCCTTCATGTCAATTTTGTGCTGAGAGAAAGGGATATGTATTTGAAGGACATGTGGGTTGTAAAACATCACCTAAAAATTCCATCAAAAATTCCTGGATTAAAAAGAAGGAAACAAACATAATCCCTTTATGTTATCACAATGAATAATCATAAACCTTTGTGAGGCCAGAATGGGTGGTCAGAGTTGTTTTTTTTTTTTTCAACTGCTGAATTTTATTTTCATGAAGGTAACTCAGCTTGTAGGCTCCATTGGCTTCTCTACCATTCCCCAAACATCTTCTGTTGCTTCATCTGAAGGGTAATTACCATATCGGCAATAATCGCAAAAATTGTCTCAAAATATATGAGTGAAACAGTGAGAATTGCTGCTGTAGCTCCAATACATGCTGAGTTCCCTAACTGCTCATGCCAACTCAGTGAGGAGTGGTAGCATCTTCCTACTGCTGCTGGCCCTGCCAGCCTTCACCATCCCTTCCTGCTTCCTGTAACTCTCCCCTCTCCTTTCTCAACAGTCCTTTCATTAAATTCTCTCCAATTACCCCTTTTGAGTGTGGCAATAATTTCCTGCTGGGACCCTGACTGTGTGTTTCTGTGACACTGAGGCATGGTACTGTTATTGTCTTTTTACAGCTCTGTTTTCCTAGACTGTGTGCTTTTGGAGATGAGGACTTTTTTTTGTTTTGTTTTTGTTTGTGTTTTTATTAACATATACTTGACATACAATATTACATTGGTGTCAGGTGTACAACATAGTAATTTGACAATTATATACTTTATGAAATGTGCCGCCATGATAAGTGTAGTCACCCTCTGTCCCTGTACAATGTTATCACAATATTATTGACTATAGTTCCAGTGCTGTACTTTTCATCTCCATGACTTATTTTTATAACTAGAAGTTTGTACCTCTTAATTACCTTCGTGAGGACTGTTTCTTTTCTGTTGTAACTTGGTGGCCTAGAATAGAGTTATTGTAGGTGTTCTTAAAGAAAGAACAAAAGAAGATCTCTATGAATTAAGGCAATTTTAAAAAATTTTAATTTCAGTATAGTTAATGTACAGTGTTATATTAGTTTCAGGTACACAATATAGTGATTAAATAATTCTACACAGTACTCAGTGCTCTTCGGGATATGTGTATTTCTTAATCCCCTTCACCCATCCTCTGGCTCTCCTCCCCTCTGGTAACCATCAGTCTGTTCTGTGTAGTTAAGGGTCTGGTTTTTTTGGTTTCTTTCTTTCTTTCTTTTTTTTTTTTTTTTTAGTTTTGTTCAATTGTTTCTTAAATTCCACATGTGAGTGAAGTTATATGGTATTTGTCTTTCTCTGACTGACTTATTTCACATAGCACTATATCTTCTAGATCCACCCATGTTGTTGCAAATGGCAAGATTTCATTATTTTTTATGGTTGAGTGATATTCCATTAAATACACACACACACACACACACACACACACACACACACACACACCCCTTTATCCATTCATCTATCGATGGATACTTGTACTGTTTCCATAATTTGGCTATTCTAAATAATGCTGCAATAAACACAGGGGTGCATCTATCTTTTTTGAATTATGTTTTCATTTTCTTTAAGTCAATACCCAATAATGGAATTACTGGGTCATATGGTAGTTCTATTTTTTTTTTTCTATTTTTAGTTCTTTGAGGAACCTCCATACTCTTTTCCACAGTGGCTGCACAAATTTGAATTCCCACCAACAGCACATAATAATTCCTTTTTCTCTACATCCTCGCCAGCACTCGTTGCTTCTTGTGGTTTTGATTCTAGCCATTCTGATAGGTGCAAGGTGATACCTCATTGTGGTTTTGATTTGCATGTCCCTGATGATGAGTGATGTGGAGCATTGTTTCATGTGTCTGTTGGCCATCTGGATGTCATCTTGGGAGAAATGTCTGTTCAAATCTTCTGCCCATTTTTTAACTGGATTGTTTGTTTTTCTGGTGTTGAGTTGTATATATTTTTTATACATTTTGGATACTAACCCTTTATTATATATGTCATTTGTAAATATCTTCTCCCATTCAGTAAGTTGTCTTTTAGTTTTGTTGGTTGTTTCCTTTGCTGTGCAGAAGCTTTTTGTTTTTATGTGGTCCCAATAGTTTATTCTTGCTTTTGTTTCCCTTGCCTAGGAGACATATCTAGAAAGAAGTTGCTATGGCCAATGTCAGAGAAATTACTGTAATTGAGGCAATTTTAATAATCCCATTACCATACACCCTTCCCTACACATCCTTTAGTGTTGTGACCATTAAGGTCCCCAGAAAGACTTCACAGTCACTTGGGATGTGCAGAAGCAGATCAAATGGATATTTTATTCCAGTGCAAAGGCCCCCATTCAGACAGTCTGGGAAACATGACAAACTAGGGGTTAGGTCACCTAGAACATGAAAAAAGGACCTATTAGGAAGAGTTTGGGTAGGAAAACAAAGCAATAGAAAATGCTTTTGTTTGCTGCTGACTTATCTGATAACCAGCCTAGGGATGGGGGTGGATTTGGATGGGGTCTTCAGCAGGCCAAAGGTCACACAACTCTGCTAGTGATTCAGGGGAGCTAGGGAAAACACACCTCAGTTTCCCCATCTGTAAGTTGGGAAGGTTGGACTAGATGATTCTTAATGACCCTCTCAACACTGATACTTTGGTGGACATCTATAGATTTGCCTATCCAATACCCATTTCTCCTTCTTTTTGCTAAGAGACCCCTTCCCTTCATGTGGTCAGGTGGGCTGAGTCTATTCTTGCCTCCAAGGGGGAGTGTGTGACCCAGGCCTGGATAATAGGGACATCAGATTCCCCTGGATGATATTTCTTTGGGATAGGCAAATGGCACTGGCCTAGGCCGGAGTGATCCATCTCATTTAGCCAAAATGTTAGGCACAGAAATGGGCACATGACCTCCAGGGTCCTCTGAGTCTCAGTTCTGGGATAATCTCCATTTCTGCTAGGGTTGCTAAAGAGGATAGCCAGGGGGAACACTTACTTAGTAATGGAACCAACACTGAAGAAAACAGAGCTAAGGGATGGCGAGAGCAAAACTGGGTCCTGTAGACACTTGGAGACCTGGATACAGCTGTAGCTTATGACCTGTTACATGTGTTCTTCTTAAATACTAGAGACAATACATTCCACTCCTCTTTCATTCATTCTGCCTAAGGTAGTTTGTGTTGTGGTTGCTACCACTTGTGACCAAAGGAGTCTTGACCAATATAGAAGCTCCACTGTTTCTTGAGATTTAAATTATAAAAAGCCAGAAATGAAAGTCTACATAATGTATGATTCCATTTATGTGAAATGTCTAGAGGAGGCAAGTCCATAAAGATAGAAAGTAGATCAGTGGTTGGCAGGGCTGGGAAGAAGGGAGAAAGGGGAGTGACTGCCATTGAGTACCAGGGTTCTTTTTGGGAGTGCTGAAATGTTTTGGTTTTAGAGAGTCTTGATGGTTGCTCCCTGTAAACATGCTAAAAAGCACTGAATTGTGTACTTCACACTGGTATAAGAATTGTATGCTAATTTAAAAAATAGAAATAAATTTAATTATAGTCATTGAAACTCCCCCAGAGAGTGAATGGAAGCAGATGCTCCCCTCACTTTCTTTGCCATGAAACACAAAAATGACCAAAGCAAGAACAGCAGAATCTGAAATGCTTTATTTCAAGGAATTACAAAATGCAGTGAAATACA